AAGCACCCGAAACGTCGGGAATTAAAATAGTAAATTAATCGCGATAAAAGTAACAAAATAGTTTTATTCAATGTGTAGTGTTCCCGTAAATATAAGAAATTAATAATACAATGGTATAAAGTTGGCAGTATTTAGGCATTTTTGACTACAGACTTTGGCAGGATTTGGCGGGTTTTTAACCAAAGTAAGGCAGGATCTGTATTTTAAAGATGGTCACCCTGGGTGTCAAGTTGAAGTTTATTTTTCAGAGTTCTGACTGGTTTGGTTTGGTTTATATTTTAGATTCTACGAAAGAGATATTTTTAAGGTAATAGACGCAATTTCTTTTATTTTGAATTTTGCAATCAAGTAGCAATTTTGAGCGCTGTGTATTTGTTGATCTAAGTGATATCCCATACATTAATCGTCGAAGGTATATGAATAGTTAACTTAATCGTTGTTTTAAGCGGTAGTATGAAAATATTTTATTGATTGTTGTTTAAACAAATACATTTCACTATCTTTATTTATTATATGTACCATATGAGCCTCACAGTAATATTCTTAAATGTGGTATGGTATTGTATTATATAGTTATAAACATGACCTTGACTATGTTTTTATAAATAAGTACACATTGCTCATAAAGTTTTTATATTAGAACCATAAACCATAAATTAGTGTTAAATTATATAGTGTATTATGTATTTATTACAAAATATTAATGCGGGTGAACATAATCTCAGTTAAATATCATGGTGTATTACCATATTGTAATAATTAAAACAAATGACCATAATAAGTATGCCGCAGTGAAAAATAAAAAGTCTACAATAATATAATAATACATTTACTAATAATTATCGTTAAAGTGAACAATGTTCTATGAAGCTTGATTTAACAGCAATACTAATAGCATTATTGTTAACAACCTTGATGCTACTTCTTTAGATATCCATTTACTTTCAATTTTATATTAAATCTTGTAATGCATAATTTCAAACTATTTTAACTTGGCTATTTAGATTAATTGCGTTTGCAACTTTAAATCTATATATTAATATGCAAAGAGAAATCTGAGTACCAAATGTTAAGTATAATATGGGTATAGAGGTGTGTGAAATTTATAATATATAATTTATTTTTATTTTATAGTAAGAAATAATTAGCTTACATACCTACTTGTAGAAATTGCTGATTAACTTTGTTGACTTAATCATTATTCATGATTGTTTATGTCTCAACATTCAAAAGTTCAAAAAGCTTATCAATTTTGGCTTGCTCCTTATGCAAAGACACTGGATTGCAGAACGACAGAACAATAACAAACAATGTAAAATTGTAAAACTTTGTAATCTGGCTCTTTTGTATTAAAACCGCTGGATTACAGAGCTGGAGAGCTAAGTTAAGAAACGCCGGATTATAACACATGTGGGATTAGTGCGTGCCAGATTACCGAGCTCCCACTGTGTGTGCTACAAATACCTTAAAAAATATAAAATAAAATATATATTGTTTACGTTCCTGTTGTCAATGTCAAACACAGTTGTCGCTTAGATAAGTTATGTTATTTGTATTGAGATCCATACTGCCAATGTCTCTGGATATAGAACACTTTTTAATCTGTGGTCAAACAGTCGCACAGGGTAGGGGCTTGTCAAATAATTAAAAAAAAATGCCAACTAATAATTATTGACAGCTTGACTGAATGAACTGGTGATATACAGATTGCTTAATATACAAAATGAAAATGTAACGAATTACAGTCGAATTTCGACCACTAGTACTATGACTCCGTGGTGCAGGGGCGTCGTAGTATTTAGTTATGGTGCTGAGGGTCACGGGGTTTGAATCCCGCACGGAACAAGTGTTTGTATGTCATATAAGTATTTGTTCCGGGTTCCAATGTTTGTCCTTGTGCAATTTATGTATATAAACTGCTCCCATGACACAGGATAAAAACCTAGTGTGGGGATAAAGTTTTTTTAAAACAAACATTAGGAAGTTAGAAGGTAATAATTGTGTATAAATTATGCATATTGTGAATTTTACACTCTTAATTCTCATAGTGGGTGAAGATAGACTAATAAACATAATATCATACTTTTATACACCTCCATAAAGTAATTGTTATAAAATTCTGATTACCTCAATTCTTAACCTGATATATAGTATATTAGAATATTATTAAGTATACATTCTTTAATACACACTTGTAAGGACTTAGATTGGTTTATAGCCTGCAGCACACTTAGGCTCCTAATATAGACTTATTATGTTAGTTATTTATGTTAGTTTAACTAAATGTTGTGTTTATTTTATCTACCGATTAAACTTCTCTTCTAATAGCAGAAATTGTGCAATTCGTTAAACTTCAATTAAAATTTAAAATGTGGTAACACTCACCGTATCATTAAGTTCTTTTTTGGTGTTTTGTTCAAGAAATTTTTAAATATTAAAGAGTAAAATATAAATAAAAAAAAATATGTGTGTCCTTTAACACTTGGTTGAAACGAAGTTCCTTTCGTACTAATTTTTTTAGATACTAGTAATGCTATTAAACATTACTAATATTCCCTTAAACCACTTCTAGTAAACTTAAAATCCTTGTGTTAAAAGTGGTTCACGACAGTAGTTGAATGGTGGATTCGACCGTGATCTTTCGAGTTCGCGGTCTGCGCCTTCTAATATAATATTATTGATAAACATATTATATTATTGATTAACAAATACAAATAAATGAATTACTAGCGTCTATTAAAATGAAGCGTTTTTTAAAATAAAATAATATTTCTTTCATGGCAAGATAAGAAAACGTGCGTGGGAGAAGGGTATTATTCCTTTCGCTTCCTTATAGTCGCCAAGGCCGTCTACACTACGTCAGAGGGGCTGTGATGGAAAAATCTTACAGTTTTCTCGCCTAGCCCCATCCGTCAAATTTGTACCGTATGATAAAGAACTTCGATCCAAAACTTGAAAATTGACTGATGTAGTTGTCTTTTAGGTGTTAAATGATAATTATATTTATCTTGTGTCCACACAGTATTTTTGTTTTATATTACTGAAGTGACAAACAAACTTACAGTCAACCAGACGGTAAGTGGCTTCTGCAGCCCACGCAGAAGCCAGGTACCACCTGCAGCCAACTTTAAACAAAGAAGGCTGCAGATGCATTGTCACCTCTGAGGACTAACATGGAATGCATCACAGTAATTATACTGGTCCTCTATCTTCTTTATTGTTAAACATGCCATTTGATTATTTAAATAAATAGATAACCTTATAACAGTTTATTTGGGTGGGGTGTTAACCACAATAATTATTATATGTAAAGAAAAATAAAAAGAACAGTGTAAGTGTGAACCACCTTTGTTGTGTATGTATGTATTGGTATTTATTTTATAGTCAACAAATTTATCCGGAGATTTAAGTTATAACTTACAAAGGCAATAAGTCTTTATAAGTTATAACTCAAACTTACACAGATTATAAAATATAACTTGCATTAAATTATCTTTTACTGTCAAGAATAAGCTAAGTGGTGTTCATGGCCTTACTCACCATTTTGAGCAGGTAGGAAGGGTGACATTAAATTACCTTAAAAGGCTTGTTGGAGGAGTAAGGTGTTTTATTTCCTAGAGATTTGGTCCCCGATTATAATAATACCACTCACATTAAAAGGTAATGCACCATTATCGAAAAAATAAATAAAAACTATTATAACTGAAAGCTGGATAGCATACAGAATTTTGTGTAAGTGCGACAAGAACGTAAGACTAGTGTCACATTCTACTGTTTATACTCTCTGTCAAGAGTTATTTTGCTAAGGACAACTATAGTAATAGAGAAAATTTTACCGACTTGATATATGAATATTTATGAAGATGAGAAATTATAAAGAATAAAAGAGATCCTTAAGAGGAATTAACAAAAAAAAAATATGTTTACAGACAATAAAGAACGATTATAATATACTGTTTTATTTCTAAATTGTTTAAAACTGCCCAGAAATACTTGAACACCCAGAAATAATTTCAGTTGTAATAGGTTAGAAGGTTGTGACGGGAGCAAAGGCAACCTGACTTTATAGATAAGATATCTGATCTGATCAAATCTGTACTAAAATTAAACCAGCACGCCCTGATTCCACGTGGTCTTGTCTGCACTACTCCTAATGTTTTTGTAAAGCCGTAGGCGCGGAGGGAGAGCAGCCCCCGCCCGCCGTAGCAAATCGCAGGCACCTGTGCGAGCCGTATCGGCTGGGGCTGGTCGCCTTCGGCGACCAATAAGACCGATGTCGTTGTAGAAGTAACTTTGGGTCAATATTCCTGTGTAAAAAAGTCGCCACTGCAAAGCACAATAGATATAATAACAGTTTAATAAATCAATTAAAGAGTTAGCAATTGCCATATTGGGTCTTTGTTCTACACCAGTGTTTTACACCAGAATTCACACATTATACACAAAGGATTATTTCAGAATGGCTCTTATACATACATACATATAATCACGCCTCTTTCCCGTAGGGGTAGGCAGAGACAACTTCTTTCCACTTGCTACGATCCTTACATACTTGTTTCGCTTCGTCCACTTTCATTATCCTCTTCATACATGCTCTACGATTTAGGGTGCTCTTGACCTGGCCTTTTTTCAAGACGTCCCTGATTTGGTCTTGAAATGTCTGCTTAGGTCTACCCCTTCCAACACTTTCATTCACAATCGCCTTATACACTTTTTTCGTCAATCGTTCTTCATTCATTCTCTCGACATGGCCAAACCATCTCAGCATACCTTTCTCAATTTTTGTCACTACATCTTCTTTCAGACCACAACGTTTCCTTATCTCACTATTTCTTATCCTGTCACTCAGTTTAACTCCTATCATACTTCTTAACGCTCTCATTTCAACTGCATTTATTCTGCTTTCATGTTTCTTCTGGGTGGCTCTTATATACTAAAATATGTAGTAATAATTAAGTAATTTTTTTTGTTTCACAGAATTGGTGCCTCTTCAGTACAACATGACTCTAATTGAGGGAGTGGGAGATGAAGTGGTGCAATTTGCTATAGCGGTGCTAGTAATCATAGTTGCTATATTAGCTTGGTGGTCAACAAATGCCCGCCCGGACCGATACCGAGCTGTTCTCTTGATGCGCTCTCGCACTCATCACCCAGTTACAGTTAGCATACGAACGAGTAAGTGCTATTTTATTGTAATGATATTACGATTTTTATACAATGCCTGTTACACAGAGGGGTAGACAGAGACTACAGACTTCAGACAGACATTTTGCACGAACCTGACACACCTCTAGCTTCTGTCATATCTATATATCTTTCCATACTTGATAGTCAATTAGGGGTACTCTCAATGCCCATCTTTAATATCGTCAATTGCCAATTGGGGTGATAAAATTCCTTCGTCTCATGTGGATTCTGCCAGACACTTCTGTAAGGGTAATTTATAACTTTGTATAGTCTCTTAGAGGAAATTTTAAATATATTAACTTTTGCCTCTGAAAATATTTATGAAAATTTTTATGAACTAAGATATTCATATAAATACTGGAAAAAAAAAGACAAGAATTTTTTATATTATAATTAATAGACTCAACAGAATTATTAATTCATTTACAAAGAAATATATATGCTTTAACAACAAAATTCCAGAAAACGTTTAATGTTTGTCAATCAGTAAATTTACAAATTTCAATAAACAAAAAATGTATGAAAAGGGGTATTTATAATTTTGGGGAATACATAATGATCTCTGGGAATGAGGTGATTGCTATATAGGCTATGCATGTAGGTTCTATTAACAGAACCAATCCAATAAACAAAGTTCCTATGAATAATTGTAAAACATTATTGTTTTATATTTAAAATAATAATCCAATAGGATTTCTTCCCTTATATTGATTGCTGTTTTTTGCCAGGATAAATGTATTTTCTGAACCAGTGGTAAAAAAATGCCTTTCAATAATTACTATGTATTAATCTATATTAAATTTAAAAAAAAGAAACTCTTCTATTGCAAACTGTCTTACATAACTCTGATCTTATCGCATAAGCATTACATTGTAGACTAGCTGATACCCGCGACTTCGTCCGCGTTGCTTATACACATCACTGAACACGTAGTGCTTATAAAAATCGATGTTTCTTAAAACTTTAATAACTTTATATTTAATGAAGATATCACAATAATTTTTAGATAAGGGCCAAGTGTCTAAGTAATAAAACTTAGAAAACCTAATTAAAATCTATCCAGTAAATATTGCGTGATGCGCGCACAACTGCAAACCTCTATCATTTTATTTATATAGGATCTATATTATAGATGAATAGATTAAAACTAGTCGGTGTTGCCGCATTTATCTATAAATACACTGAGTGCTACTAATATATTTTAAATTTGTTGTTGTGTCCCAAAAAATCCCAAAAAAAATCATCTATCAGTTTTATATTTTGCGATATTATAGACAACAATGATTTGTTGCTTTCTGGTGACTTTAGGTATGAATAAATAAACTTGCGCTACTTCCTTCACCCACTCAATTTCGCCCTAATTCTGGAATAACAGCGCCTTAAGAAAATTTAGAATATTGACTATAATTATAATTGACTAATATAATTTTCAGGACCAAGTATAACAAATATCCAAGCTAGCAGTTCTGTGCAGAATATAACAGAGCCCCTAGGTATGTAAAAACAGCAACAAAACAAGCTTTATTTATTAAACTGCTTTTTTGGACAGTTGTTTTTAAGCTAAAGTTAATAATTTTCAAGTACATAATTAAAAAAAATTGTTTATAATTAGTCTCGTCTTTACTAGTCTGTTTCAATAGAGAAGTCCTGCAAAGAATATGCAAACTAAAATGTCATTTATTGAATTTAGTAAGGACTGTAGTGCTACAGTTAAGGGTCTTCTTTCGTTAAAAAGACTTCTTAAACCATAGGTTAAACCTGACGCTATTAATAAACTACTTTTTGTAATGAGACGGAAATGTTCAAAGATAATATTGTTAGAATTCTTTTCGATATATGCTTTACTCCTTTGTTTCTTATTCTTCAAAATTCATCTCTAAAATCATTTTAGCGGAAAATACTATGCAATTTTTTTTTGCGTTTGCCCGAATATCTGCAGTTGCCTGCAGGACAGTCTGGTTCAATTTTTCATTATTCAAGCCGAAGGTTAAATCTTTTTGTCGCTATTGGTTCACTTTTATATGAGCTTGGTTTGGTCTGTAGCCCCTTTTAAAATGTGGTCTCGCAAACACTCACCGTGGCGGCAATGTAAGATAGTCCATCCATCACCCCCTCTCGTCCTTTGGGTGTCGTAAAAAGTGACTACAGTAAATGCCAGAAGGATATGATTCTAAGGCACTTGTCCCACGGCGAACATTGAATGAGAAGCGAGTAGAGCTAGAAACTAGATAAAGAGTTGGCGAGCAGCGAGAAGCGATTGTGTAGTTCCGATAGTTTGTCACTGGGCTATAAGCGAGTGCATTCAGATCCGCACTGTAGAGAAAAATGATTGCTGGTTGTTCTCTCCTCCCCTAGTGTAGCAGTTGTTTATGGGCGGCCTTAATCACTTAACATCAGGTAATCCGCATGCTTGTTTGTTTTCTGGCGGCGCCAGTGTCCGCCTCTATATAACACAGAGTACTCCTATTCAAGGATCGGCATAGGTTTAATGTCCAATGAAGTTACAAATAGATGGGAGGGGGTAAAGTCGATTGATGTCGATGTCTATGGGCCACAGCAACCACTTACCATCAGGTGGACTGTGTGCTCGTTTGTCACCCTTATGCTATAAAAAAAAGTATTTAATATATATTATACTTTTTCTGTGGCATTTATTGGTGGTTAGATATTTATTTAGAAGTCTAGAGTGTATTGAGAAATATTGAGTTTCAAATGTTAAGTTATATAGATTTTCGTTTTTGTTTAGGTATATGGAAATATTATCATCATTAAATAACAGTATATTTATGAGGTTCCATATCTCAAAAGGGAAAAAACGGAACCTTTATAGGATAACTTTGTTGTTCGTCAGTCCATCTAGTCAGATACCTTTTCTCAGAAACGGGTAGAGGTATCAAATTGAAATTAATATCAATATTAAGGTCTATGGTCCAAAGTGCACTAACAAAGTCCCAGAAAATATGCAGGCCTTATGTATCAAAAAGTTTAACATTTTTATTAAGTATAAATTGTTTAATAAGGGTTATTATACTACTAAAGAGTACATGGTTAATAATAACCCCTGGGAATGAGCTATGAGTCTTGTTAAGTTTAGTTCACTACTTCTTTACCACAACGTTCATCCTTGAATTGAACAATGGACTGTCTCAAAGGAAACTTTCTATTAGAACTAATCCAATGAAGCCATCAAAAGCATTTGAAAAGTTCATAAATTGCTGTCACTACTATTTGTACAGCAAAAGTTTCAATTCTCATTGAAATTGCAAAGGGATGTTTGTATTTTTCTGTCTGACACAAAATTTCTATGTTAGTATGTTATAATTATTATAGTAGACCTTTTAAAATGTGTAAAATCAAAATGTGATATTTTAATTTGAATATAGAATATATTTTCAACCGCCTTCAAAAAAGGAGGTTCTCAATAGGACTGTATCTTTTTTATGTGTTACCTCAGAACTTTTTTCTCTGTGAACCGATTTTGATGATTCTTTTTTATTTGAAAGCTGGTGCTTCTCATGTGGTTCCATATAAATTATTTAATCAAAATCTGACCAGTAGTTTTTGAGTTATCCTTAATAATGCATATTTAATTGTGTTCGACTATATTGATGATGTTCTCATTTTATTATAGTGAAGTTGGTTGTACAAAATGTTTAATTTTACCACTTGTTCGACATAAGCATGGGATGTGTAGTATAGTATATTTTGGTATTTGATAAATCTTTGTAAATACTTAGTTATTTGACTGTAAATTGCTTACTGTCACACCAACTAACATAATTTATTTGTCATTTGTAATTATGTTTTTTATGCATGTAGCATCAAATACTTCAAGCTCAGTTAGCGAAAGTACCAGAGAAAACGCCAGAGTTATACCTCTACAGGAAATGGATAGTATTGTAGATGCTGACATGGCTATGCTGGACAATAATCGGCTGCATTTCTATAGGAGAATTGATTGTAAGTTTAGCTGCAGTCTGCTTTATTTTATATTTTATTTTTAGTATATCACCTGACGATGGGAAGTGCAGACTAAGGGTGTTACCACACCAATCGATCCATCTTCGTTCGATGGCTTTGATTAGATTATTCGACGTCGATCGAGCTGCTTGATTATTCAAAAACCCGCTCCGCTCCACCGACCGCTATTTAAAATGTCGTTTATATTAAATAAGCTATCTCTGGCTGTAAAAACGGTCGCATCCAAAGACTTCTGCGTTTGCGTCTCGGTAATAATAATACAAGCAAGAGCGCACTGGCCAACAATAACGCATCCTCTTCTGAATATATTTTGAAAGATACTGATGATGAGCCCACAACCACATCGATTAATAGTCGATTGATCGATGATTGTTCAAACGACGTTTTATCAACAAGTATCCGTCGATCAGCTAAAGCTACCACACCAATCGATTGACATCGATCGAAGGCATTGATCGACGATCATTCGATTGGTGTGGTAACACCCTAAGGTGGCAAAATGAACTCACTTAGCTTAACAAGAGCCAATTATAAGTTAGTATATGTATGTGGCATACAGGTTTATTTGCAGAATTTTATTTTGCCTAAATTTGCAGAGAAAGTTCAGAATTAATAATATAGACGAATGGTGAAGAAAAATTAATTTAAAAATCTTAAACATTTCGGTCCTTTTTATCTTTTAAATTCAGAATGCGTGGTATAATGTATTATTTTAAGAGATTGTCATTCATAAATAGCTAACGTCTACTATTTTACTACGCACGCAAACATTCGTAATGGTCGATCGGTGGGCAAAAATGTTGTGAATTGAATCACACACAGAGGAGCGCGCGTACGTGTAGTTGTTGCCCATAAATCAAATTCAATTTGGGATAATTTCTAATAAAAGTACAAGCCTTATATACTTGTAGTTTTAAAAACTGCAATAACTGTATACGATTACTTCTATATTTGAACTTAAATAGAAAATTTGGATAATCTTTAAAAAATAACCCTGTAAAATAATCCTTACTGATTATTAGTGCCATTATAAAGAAATATGTAATAATAATATCATAAATATTTCAAGTAGCTGATTTTTAATACATTGTTTCTTATTTTGACACTCATTGTATAACTTATGATAATTTAATGTAATCTTTTTTTTGTAATAATTTATTTATCTGTTCAATCAACTGTTATGTAACAAGGAGATAAGAAATTAATTCTTGATTATGAAAATGAACATTTAATTATCGCTAGCACCAAACAACAGTCAGAGTCCCACAGAGTCTCTGAGCGAAGAGAGTGAGACTCAGGAAGAATCTGAACCAGCAAGCAATGCTCAGATAAGAGAGATGGATAGTATTGTTAGTGCAATGGAGGCTGATGTAACAACTGGATGTGACTTTTTCACTAGATCTAATGGTAAGTTTGTTTCATTTGCTGAAATATCTATATGGATTTATTGTAATATGATTTTTGATAATGGTAATTGCAATAATATAATTTCTTTACTTTAGATTGTTGTATTATTGCAGTTATGTGCAATTATGTATATTGCTATTTTTAATTTGAATAAATAAGTCCATTATGTTTACAAATAAAAAAATGTTGCATTATTAATATATTTTTTTTACCCAAAAAGTGGGAACCAATTGCGTTTTAAATGTATTTATGTAGTTTTACTGTAATATTTAGCAAATGTAAAGAAAAAAAAAATAAGAAAAAATACTGCTATAGAATTATTTTACCTAAGAAATAATTTTTTTTTATGGGATAAGGATGACAAGCGAGCACAAAAGTCTACCTGATGGTAAGTGGTTGCTGTGGCCCATAGATATCTACATCTATCCTCGTTTGTGAATCAAAATGTAGATGCGTTGTCAGCCGTGAGGACTAAGATGGAATGTCCCTTTTCTAGTAAAAAGGGTCTCCGGTTCTCTACATGACAAGCTCGTGGAAACTGTCCATGCGGTCGAAGCTAAGTTCTGCAAGACCCGCTGCAGAAGAACACAAAAACTCTCCGATCACACTCTTAATCTCATGGCTGTTAGACGGGAAATGAAGCTGCAGTCAGCAGATTTGACAGCGTACCGGCAACTGAATAGACGGAACCAGGGCTCCAAAGTCTTTGCTAGAGAGATATTTGCTGTCTGCCAGAAAGAGCCAACTATGTCTGGCGTATGTGGACCACGATAAGCCTTTGATTCCGTCACAATTTGGGCTGTGCTGCAGTCCTTTCAGCGGTGCCAAGTTGACTGTCGGCATACCGATGTGCTGAAGTGTTGGGAGCACTAAGCTCGAAGTTGTTGACGAGTATATTTACCTGGGACAAATAGTCCGACTAGGTAAGTCCAACTTCGACCGAGAGGTCAATCGATGGATTCAACTCTGCTGGGCAGCGTTCGGGAAATTACGGCACATCTTCTCGTCAAGTATACCTCAAAACTTGAAAACGAGACTAGTGCGTGTTGCCAGTGATGACTTATGGAACTGAGACTCTTCACTACTGGCCATATGAGTGAGCTCGAGTTCACTCAGTGAGCTATGGAGAGAGCTATGCTCGGGGTTTCTCTGCGTGATAAACTTGGAAATGAGGATATCCGCAGTAGAACCATAGTGACCGACATAGCCCAACAGATTATTAGTAAGCTGAAGTGGCAATGGGCCGGCCATCCGTCGGCCTAAAGAACCGACAACTGATGAGGAAGAAAGGTTCTCGAGTAGCGGTCTAAATACGGCGGCGCATTATTTAAAAAATCTCTAACATTCTGTCCTTTTTGTCTTTTAAATTCAAAATACGTGGTAATGCATTATTTTAACTGATTTTACTGCGCACGCACACATTCGTAAGGGTCGATCGATCGGTAGGCAAAAACGTTGTTGCCCATAAATCACATTAAATTTGGGATAATTTCAAATAAAAGTGGAAGCCTTATTTACTCGTATCATTATTTATATATTTGAACTTAAGTTTAAAATTTGGTTACTCCTTGAAAAATAACCCTGTATAATCATCAGCATTAATTTAATTTTCTTACTCATAAAATTTATCTAAAATTCCAGGAAGTAATCAACTCACAGCCTCTGCAGATCAAAAAACTGATAAGAAAGAAGACAATAAACAAAATATTTCATCAAGTAGCTCAAATGTAAGCAGAGAATCGGAGCTGGACTCAGAAAATGCGACTGTCGAAGCTGAAACAGTGATTAGCGAAAATACTGAGAGTGAAAGAGATAGGAGAAAAATACTTATCAAATTGAAGTATCTCAATGAAACTTTGAAAGAAGTGGACGGCAGCCTCGATGAATTATTAAAGGATTTTAAATGGTAAGTCATTAAACAGTTCAATTGAATTCTTCAACTGAAGAGTCGGACAAGATACAAAACGAAAATGTATCTTTTAATAAAAAGTTAAAGAAGACTTCTAAGAACTAAACAGAATATAATAATTTCTTTGGCAAATTGTACAGAAGACCGAAGAGTACAATCTGCCACTTTGTCTTGAGTATGTGGACTATGAGAAAGCCTTTGATTCCGTCGAAATTTTGGCTGTGCTGCCAGTCCCTTCAGCGGTGCCAAGTTGACTGTCGGTATATCGAAGTGCTGAACAGGTTGTACAGTAGAGCTACGATGGCTATCCGAGTACAGAACCATAGTACGAAACCTATCCAACTGCAGAGAGGTGTAAAACAGGGTGACTTAATATCCCCGAAACTCTTCATCGATGCATTGGAAGACGTTTTCAAGCTACTGGACTAGAAAGGATACGTTATTAACATCACTCACATTCGATTTGCCGACGATATAGTCCTTATGGCAGAATCGCTAGAGGACCTAAGCACTATGTTCAATGACCTCAATAGTGTCTCTCAATGGTCTTCAGATGAACATGGACAAAACAAAAGTCATTTGTAACGTCCATGTCACACCTATGCCGGTAGTTCTTAGAAGCACTAAGCTCGAAGTTGTTTACGTTTACGTTTACTTGGGACAAATGACCCGATTAGGTAAGTCCAACTTCTACCGAGAGGTCAATCGACGGAATCAACTCGGCTGGGCAACGTTCGGAAGATTACGACACATCTTCTCGTAAGGCATACCTCAAAACGTCAAAACTAGATTGTACAACCTGTGCTTGTTGTCTATAAATCTGACACATGGTCCTTCACTGCTGGCCGGACGAGGAAGCTCAAGATCGCTCAGCGAGCTATGGAGAGTGCTATGCTCGGCGTTTCACTGCGTGATAAACTTAAAAACGAGGATATCCGCAGTAGAACCAGATTGATCGACATAGCCCAACGGATTAGTAAGCTGAAGTGGCAATGGGCCGGCCATAAAGCTCGAAGAACCGATAACCGATGGGGAAGAAAAGTTCCCGAGTGGCAACCTCGTACCGGCAGGCGAAGTGTAGGGAGTCCCCTAGATGGAATAACGACCTGGTAAGACATGCAAGAAGTCAATGGATGCAGGTGGCTCGGCACCGTGCTTTGTGGCATTCTTTGGGGAGACCTATGTTCAGCAGTTGACTTGTGAAGGGCTGTAATGATGATGAGGATTATTCTTGCTATATATTACACATCTGCGGCCGACTGGCTAAGTAATTTCTTATTGAATAATTCAAGATCTACCTCCTGTTCGCATGCTTTTCCAATATAAGTCCACTTTCTTTTTTTTTTCTTCTTTTTTTGTAGAATTAGGGTGATAAACGAGCACACAGTCCACCTGATGCTAAGTGGTTGCTGTGGTCCATAGATATCTACATCTATCTTCGTTTGCGAATTAAAATGCAGATGCGTTGTCAGTCGTGAGGACTAAGATAGAATGCCACTTTTCCAGTAAAATAGGTGACCGGTTCTCTACACTAACCATGCCAAACACAGCATTGTTAACCTGCTATTTTACGCTGGTATTCTGTGAGAGCGTGGTCCTTCCCCGGTCGAGCCGACCCATTCGTGCTACAATTATATATATATATATACACATACATACATACATACAGGATGTCCCAGTCACAGTAATGGTGGATAATCTGGTACGTACGTGATCGGGCGGGGGTGAGGTGAGGGTTATTTAACTGCTAAGTTTGAGCACCTGTGGTGAAAAAAAAACGTATAGAATCTGTGTGGCCAACCATTTAAAAAGTTTTCCTATATCATAAGGATTCTAAAACATGTACTTAATGTCATTACTTACTGAGCTATAGCCGTTAATGTGTAAAAGTAGGCATTTCATTACAAAATGATTGGCAGAAAGTTTTTTTAAACACTGCATGTCTTTATTAGGTAAGTACATTTGTCGCCTTTGAAAATTTTACTTTACTACCTGCTCGCCTTGTTTGGACGAATTCTAAGCTGTGTGAGCGAGACAACAAAAAATCTAATGGGTTAATATCAGATGATCTTGGTGGCCACAATATCGGTCCCATTCGGTCGATCCACCGGTCACGGTTGGCTTCGTTTAAGTAACTCCTTACTTGGACGGCATAATGTGCCGGACAACCATCATTTTGGAGCCACAGCCTGCAGCATGGCTCTACCACGTAAAGGAAAACTGCTCTGCTCTGCTGAATATTGATTCGATTGTTTTATAGGGAAGCTCTTTTCCATAGCTGCTACGCTTAGCAGGCAGGTTGACGACGCCAGTATTTTATTAATATAAGTTGTTACCAGAAAGATGCTACTGCTCCTCTCCTGTTTTATTTCCCGTCATCTCTAGGGATTATATGGGGGTAATGGCTTCTCTTACAGAGTTGCAATCTGTTCCAGGCGTCACTTCCAAGCGGAACTCACTTCAGAATGTCGCGTCCGACTGATATTCAACGGCCGTGTGTTAGTCGATGATGCGGCTACGTTGCAGGCTTGCGGCCTTCACGACCGCGCAGTCGTACACTGCCTGGTGCATCCCAAGAGGAATAATAATCAGGTTAAATATATTTAGTTCTTTCGTCGTTTACAGCCTGTAAAAGTCCACTTCTGAACATAGGCTTACTACACTTGGCAGGCGGGTTGGCGACCGCAGTTTTTTTGCTTTCTTATTGTTATTAGAAAAACGCTGCTGTCCCTGTCCTGGTTTGTTTTCCTCTTTTGCCTCTTACAACGCCCGGGACGATACACGCTATACTAGAATTATTTTGTGCGTGCAGTTTGGGTCATAAGTCATAGGAGTATGTCGCTCTCTCTCCCACTCACGGGCCTTAGGGGCGAGCATAGTAATGCGCATTATTGTTGTCGATAAGCGTTATCGATAGTGTATTTAGTTTTGTCATTATGTGGGATAGTGATAAAAATTAAATAGATAAAACAACGTATTTATTATAATAAGAATAATAATGATTTTAAATAAATTATTATTAAATATGTATTAAAAAAACTATAAGTACAAATGTTTGGAATGTAACAAGTTATATTAAAAATAAATATAAATACAAAGATAATAACTTATATCTAAAATTAAATTTGTTGTTGTCGATAATGGCGTTGCGCACGCGCAACATGCTCACCGCCTTAGCCGGGTTTGAGGCCGAGCTATGATTTATAACCCCAACTGCACGGAGTAAATAATTTTACTATAGGTGATATTGTTACACCTCCATTACACATTACATAAATTTAAGTTCTAAACGCTTTTAATTCAACTGGGATAGGACCGTACACATATACAGTATGCGTACCTACTTTGGGCTATATATACACCATCTTCTTTTTTAATTATAATGAGCCAGTACTTAGCTAGCTATGGTAGCTAAGTACTGGCTGGTATGCTAGCTTAGTACTTAGCTATGGTAGCCAGACTACCAGCCCACCTGGTGGGAAGTGATGATGCAGCCGACGATGGTGAAGCGCATTGAAGCTTAACAAAAGCCTATTCACTCTTTTCTATGAGACACATTGTAATCGGATGGAAGGACAGGTACAGGGTACAGGCAAATTGTTCCACGCCTTTGCAGTATACTTTATGAACGACGATGATGCTTGGTGTATTGACAACGATAAAGTGGATACCATTTATATTGATATGACTCGGTTAAGCTTAGCACTCACTGTGATTAAACGCGAGTGGTTTAGGAATAGCTGAAAACGCAAAACCGCATACAACCACGCACTGCGGCTGGCGTTTTGCTTAATTTTATTTCAGTACCACTATCGATTTCTGGCGATTAGCGTGTGTTGTGGCTTTGGTTTTTAAATTAAGAAATAGAAAACGTAGACAACGCCGCCACCATAAGTACTTTTGCAAAATGTATAACGACGTGCGACAACATCCCGATAAGTTTTTTAATTACTACAGAATGTCGATGGGTACATTTGATAAATTATTACAAGCTATGGGCCAGTATCTACAACATAAAGACACTGCATTTCGTATGGCGATTTTCACTTCAATAATAATGTTTCTTTTTTTTATCGTAGTCTAAAGACGTTGTTTCTGAGTCGGACGACATGACATAAACTCTTTAAATTAGCACCGTAAATAACGACTGTCCTCTGCGCTCGCCTAGTCGAGACCGAATAAAAAACCGAACGCGGTTAACCGTTGTGCGTGCGGCGCCATACTATTACTATGGGACACATAAAAATCGCGCGCTTGCAAACCGCGATCCAAATGTAGCAAGTTACGTTTTTAAAATCAGTCACTGAAAATTCGCAAATATGTGCGCTTGTATAGAATGCTATGTGTTACATTTTTTTTGCGGTTTCAGACGTGCGGTTAAACGCGTGCGTTTAATCGCAGTGCGTGCTAAGCCTAAGTGCGTGTTGCCAGTGATGATATACTTATTAAAAATGAACTAGCTAAGTTGCGCGTAATAAATAAAAATGGGGTGTCTTACCTGGTTTTAAGAGCACCTGCCGTCCTCCCTCCTTATCGACGGTGGTATCTTTCCTAGTGTAATGGTGCTGGGATTAGTGATGACGGGGACAATGCTAGCAATTGAGGGAGGGCTGAAGGTGCTCTTTAAACTAGGTAAGAAGGCGCATCATTTTATTATTACGCGGATCGTTGTTAATTTTTAACGTCATTAATATAATGAATTTCCGCAAAGTAACGCCTCAATTAGTTATTCCATGTTTCCGACGTTAAACGCTTATAATTAAAAGCTGAAGGTAGCCCGGGTTAACCTTTGCATCAGAACATGCAAGGTCTTCCTTTGACCATGGGTGATGTAAGTCATTGGAAACTTATATATACCTAAGTTAAACGCAATGAAACATATTTGTACGAGTAATTATAACAAATTATCTAGTATCTTTAGTCTTTAACTTATCCATAGACTATTTTAAAGGATCCAGTAATTAACATGTATAATGATATATATATATATATATAGAAAACTGGATATTATAATTCAATGATAGTAGTAATATTGGTAATTACAGATAACCACTTCACTTACCGGTATGAGTCTGCCACTAGAGAACCTTTCTTCACCATTGGTTGTTGGTTCTTCCATAGTTAGGTTAATTTATAATTAATATAGGGTGTGGAATATGCTATGTTTTTCCCTAAATGCCAAACATGTCTTGTACATGGTGCACTTGCTGGACGGACAAGACTTTGGCGATCGAGTAATGTCAGCAAGTCCATCCACAAACGCTGTACCCAAATGTAGTTAATAGGGCGGAACTTTGAAAAACTTCATTACATTTGAAATTTGAAAATTAAGTAGAATAATCCGCGTGCAAAAATAAAATGGTGTACATTATCTTTTTAAAGATCATCTACCTGCCTCTCCCCTGAAATTGCGTGCCAACTGGTCCTAACAGACTCCTTGTCACCACTCTCTAATCACTACCCAAGGAAACAACACCATTGTCAAAAATATAACAGACAAAAAAAATTCTAAGGCCAGTTATGCACCTGCAATTACTCTGGCGCTGCAGGTGTTCATGGGCGGCATTACCATCAGCAGGCCTATTCGCTAAATTTTGTAGTTCATTGCGTCGTATGTTTTCGTCATATGTATGAGGCGTGGTAGTTTTACAGCAAAGTTATATAGCATACAACGCAATGTATTACAAAGTGATTATCATTTATACCCCCTTGTAAAAACCATTTAATTTACTTCAATAAGAGCATCATCGGAATCAGGATCTTAGGTGGTTTTCATATTTTGTAGAACCCAAATTTTACAAACTGGTGATGGGGAGTAGTTTTCTGATTCCAAGAACCCTTTTTTTATAATTCTAAGCCAGCGCTTAACTACAATCCCATCTGATGGTAAGTGGTGATGTATCCTAAGATAGTGGCCTTGAAGGCACCCACATTGTAATCGGATGGAAAGACAGATGCTGGCTACGTATTCCACTCCTTTGCTGTACGCATGATGAACGATGTAGATGTATGTTCAAACCGTTTGGTTCGAATGTGTGGTAAGTTAACAACGAAAGGGCCGAACGTCTGGTTGTCCGATGGTGGAAGGCGTAGGGAGGAATTAAATTATGCAATTCCTGCGCACATTGCCCCAAATACATCCTATAGAAAACCGAAAGGCTTGCTCTTTGCGCATGTGTTCGAGGCTGGTAAGATTGGTTTTAACCAAATTCGAATCACCAATAAGCCTCTTAGCACGCCTTTCCATTGAGTCCAAAGCTGCTAGGTGGCATTTTGCAGAACCCTTCTGCCTAACAAATGTGTAAGGTTAAACTCTCTTTATAGCAGCGGTCTGGTACGGAGGAAGCGAACGTCGCAGCTACACACGAGTTGATAACTGAAACGGGGCAGCCCGAGAGGACATGGGACCTTGAAAACATTCTGATGACCTTAGTTTCTGTAGCCCTAACCATAGTGTGGTTTTTCAGGTAAGTTAAAATTCTTCTTTTTATTAAGACTTTATTCATTGATAAGTAGTATATTTATCGAATTATACAAAAAGTAAGCTATAAAACTGTGAACTTTACTCACTTTCGGCTTGCTTTCTTCACATCATTTTATAAATACAATGCAATACAATTTAGTGTAGAACAAGAAAATATTCTATATCTACACTACTTAATACTCTACTTAATACTTACTATATTATTAATATCATAAATACGAAAATAACTTTTTTTATATAGGATAAGGGTGACAAACGAGCACACAGTCCACCTGATGGTAAGTGGTTGCTGTGGCCCATAGACATCTACATCTATCTTCGATTACGAATCAAAATGCGTTGTCACCCGTGAGGACTAAGATGGAATGCCTCGTTTCCAGTAAAAAGGGGTCTCCGGTGGTTCTCTACACTCACCATACGAAACACAGCAGCATTAAGCTGCTATTTTACGCTGGTATTCTGTCAGAGCGTGGTCCTTCCCCGGTCGAGCCGACCCATTCGTGCTACTATACTACTAAAGCCTGGCGTCGACTACAGCAGAAATGCGTCGCATCGAAATGAGTCGCATTTATTCCTAGTGCGTCCATCTCTGAAGAGTCGAATCGAATTGTTCATTCATCGCGAATTCGTCATCAAAATAGGTCGTTTTTGCGTCATGGACAGCTCGGATGAAGAGATGTTTTTATTTCAAATACTTTTTGATGAAGAAGAGGAGAAAAGAAAAATACTGGATACCCAAATACTGGCTACACGACATTTATATGAAAAGAAATAACTACGGCGAATTTCATCATTTATATCCAGATTTGAAAAGAGATCCCATTAAATTTTTTCAAAATTTTCTTTTATCCTATGAAAAATTTCAAGTTCATCCGACGCTGATCATCGTGATAATATGGATCTTCATGATCAAAAAATTCTGGATATTGTTGGACCAGTGATATCAATAGTTCTTCATTCATTTTTATTTAAACAAAAAGATTTTTACGAAAAGGAAATAGAAATAAATTAAAATACGTTGGCGCACATCCACTTCTCCGCGTCGACTGAGGCGCGCCGAGTTGAATCGAATCGCATCGGCGATAAAATTCGCTTGTCAAGCAATTCGCGCGGTCGATTCAATTCGGCGCGCCGCGGCTCGTCGCTAATGGATGCAGTTTCATAGTAAATATATAGGAGGCGACTTTCTGCGATTCGATTCGACTCGGCTCGGCGAGCCTAGTGGACGCTTAGCCATATACAGCTGCAGCATGGCTCTACCACGTAAAAAACTCTGTATGTTACGTTTGAACGCCTAAACTGCTGTACCGATTTTAATGAAATTTGTTATGGCGATAGTTTGAGCTCTGAGGGAAAACATAAGTACTACTTTAATCAAGTGGTAAAATTAAAAATTTTGTACAACGGACTTCAATATAAATAAAATGAGAACATCGTCAATGTAGTCAAAGTCAATTAAATACGCATTATTAAGGATAACTCAAAAAGTACTGGTCAGATACTGATCAAATTTATATGGGACCACATGAGAATCACCAGCTTTCAAATAAAAAAGAATCCTCGAAATCGGTTCACCCAGTAAAAAGTTATGAGGTAACACACATAAAAAAAACATACAGTCGAATTGAGTACCGTCTCCTTTTTGCAAGTCGGCAAAAAATGTGTTAAGTAGGTTATTACTCATAGATACGTTATAAATTCCTATTTAAAATAGTACCTCGTCAGTTCAATTGATGAAGAGATTAAACAAATATACGACAGTAGACTATTTCTTATAATATTTTATTTTTATGCCGACTTCCAAAAAGGAGACGGTACTCAATTCGACGCGTATGTTTTTTTTTATGTGTGTTACCTCATAACTTTTTACTGGGTGGACCGATTTCGATGATTCTTTTTTTATATGAAAGCTGATACTTCTCGTGTGGTCCCGTATTAATTTGATCAAGGCCAGACCAATAGTTTTTGAGTTATTTGAGTTATTCTTAATAACTTATATTGAAGTCGGCTGTACAAAAATTTTAATTTTAAATTATTTTAACTGCGTTTACTAAAACTTATTTATCCCATGTCTTATATAATAATATCCTCCCATAAAAAATACTATCAATTGATGCGGCCACTGCCGCTGCACGAAGTGTTCGAGGTCTGTCATTGTCATTGAACATAACCTGTGGATATTCTTAGCACCAGAAGTAGAATTAATTTCTGAACACCAATTATCTGATTAAGTTATTTAACAAGTTTAAATTTCGTGTGTGTCATACTTGAGAAGAGCTATTTTTTAAATGTAGCATATTACCAAGCATGATTATTATTATATCCGTATCAGAGCGTACAAAACTAGAAAGAAAAAGACTGGATTAGAGCGAGCGCTATTATAGTACGCGCTTGTGGGCGCCCCAGAAGTTTGTTGTCTGCCTGGGTGATACAACCACAATATGTGTCTGCCGTGAAAATTATACATGTCAAATAATATTATCAACAATATATATAAATTGCAGCTTTATTGAAATAACGTAAATATGTAAATATGCAGCAGGAATGGGTCGCCTCGACAATAAAATAGCAACTTAAAACTGCTGTGTTTCGTATGGTGAGTAGAGAACCGGAGACCCCTTTTACTGGAAAAGAGGCATTGAGTGTTGTGGAACACTCGGTTGCAACGTGCAAAGTGCCTTTCGTAGTACGAGTACATTATTATTGATAAACGTATTATAATATTGATTAACAAATACAAATAAATGAATTAATAGCGTGTATTAAAATGAAGTCATTTAAATTAAAATAATATTTCTTTAATGACAAGATAAGAAGAAGTGCGAGGGAGATGGATATTATTCCATCTCGCTTCCTTATAGCCGCCAAGTCCGTCCACACTACGTCAGCAGTGGTCGTGACGGGAAAATCTTATGGCGGCTCTTCACGTTGGCCAATATAGTGGCGAATGTGTTGGCAGAGATATTGACCAAGAATTTATGATCGCGTCCACACGTTGGAAGGTCGTTCAGTTTGCTTCGGTTCAGGCCAATGTGCGGACGAATTTATTAAAATGATTATTGATGCGCTAACGGCTGCTGCGGTTTATTTATTAACAGCATACCACTATAACGTGAATGTGTATAAGAAAAGGTTGATCGAAAAGAAATGGAAAAAAATAAATTTTATTTCTTGACGACTTCGTGGCGTAGTGGCTTAGCAATGAGTTACTGCGTTGGGGGCCGTGGGTTCGAATCCCGCACGGAACAAGTATTTGTATGGCCTGCAAATAATTGCTTCGGGTCTGGATGTTTGTCCTTATGCAATTTATGTTTGTAAACTGCCTCCACGATAAATCCTAGTGTGGAGGTAACGTTTATTTAAAAAAAAGACTTGAAAAACTTATGTGTCACAAACAATTTCCGGCTTGGTAGGGCTCTATAAAGAGAAAAGTTTTTCCATTGGTCATTGTTACTGCCATTATGTAGACACTAGTTACGATACGTACATATAAAATTTAAATAAGAGCGTGTGATCACTCTGGGAGCTCGTAGCAAACTGAACCAAAGAGTATAGTAATATATAAGGAAGAAGAGAGCCCTCTTGCGAGTAAAACTGGTGCTCCTTGGAAACAGCGCCACCTGATGATTGTTAGGCCAACTATAATATTTATATGTGTGTGTGTGTGTATATACCAATTCACTCACACGAGAGCACTCTGTGAATGTGTGCGTGTGTATATGTACAATGCTCTTTGCCTACCCTCACATTCAATATTCTATATATTTTAAACTTATATTGCTATTTCCATTCCAATTTTCTACGAATGTAGAAATTACATTCTACATTCGTAAAAAGTTGAAATGGAAATAGTAATAAATGAATATAATAGGTACATATTGGAATTTATAAAAATTTAATAACGCAAAACTTAAGAGTAAGATTAAAGTTAACAATTAGCTATGCATTCATACATAAGTAGAAAATTGGAATGGCACACGGTTAATTTGACCAAACAGAAATAAAACAATTATTTTCATAGAGATTTAAATATATTATTAACAGTTATTAGATACACAGAAATAAACTTGGGCACTCAATTTTAGATGATTATGGAAGCATCTTAGAACACACCGTTTTCAGCAACCCCTTATTATTCGTAAAACATTATTATTAAGTAAGACGACTCTAATAAATCACCATAAACTAAATATGCACTGGCTAGTAACACCACACTTAAGTAATTGTTCTACGAAATACGAAATTAACTAAATCGACATCAAACTTTTGAATTTGGCTTAGAAAAATTAAACAAACCGAACTCGATCCACTTTGAAAATGGTTGAAACATTCCCGTTTAAAATAATATCTAATTGATGAAAAATTAACTTTGAAACTTTTTCTTTTTTAATTTCATAAAAATATGTAATAATTTAGGTTATTTTTTTTTCGCAACAGCAGATACAGATACATTTATATTTTCGGCTACAGAGCTTGTAGTACAGACTAATCATTTCAATCGAACATAAATATAATCGGAATTTATATGTACTTTATAAATCATGGATTAAACAACTTTTATTTGTCATGCATACATATTACCAAAATATATAGTGTATAATTTATAAGATAAGTAAAACTAATTTTAATGGACAGGTGACAAAGATATTAAAGCCATCTAGTGAGTATTAAACTAACTAAACTGAGGAAATTATGACCCGTATCATACACTTGATGGCGTTACTTTCTATGACCAAATGCGCCGAACGTGTGGACGCGACGGACATACTCTGTCACAACCCTTTGATCTTTTGCAAAAAACCGACACCACACGGATCTCGCGCCAACTTGTGGGCCATCGTTGTTGGCCAACACATTCGCCAGTATGTTGGCCAACGTGAAGAACCGCCGTTACACATTACGAATTTGTACAGTCCGATAAGGAACTTCGTTCCAAAAAAAAATCAGGTTATTATTTTTTATGACTGTCTCTGATAAAGCAGGTGATTCTTTTACCGACTTCAAAAAGGAGGAGGTAATTAGTTCGACTGTATGTTGTTTTATGTGTGGTTACCTCATAACTTTTTTCTAGGTGAACCGATTTTGATGATTCTTTTTTTATTTGAAAGCTGGTGCTTCTCATGAGGTCCTATATAAATTTAATCAAGGTCTGAGTAGTAGTATTTGAGTTATCCTTAATCATTTATATTGAAGTTGGTTGTAATTTTTTTTTAATTTTACCACTTGTTATACTATCGTTTCTGTGAGCACTAATCATGCTCTATATGTATTATGGTATTACTTACATATAATTTCTATATAATAGACGCTAACATTCACAACTGTAATATGGTTACTTCGCACCTAACACTGATAGGTAATTTATAAAAGTGTAACACTTTATTTTTTTCAGATGTGAATATTCGAACATGTTCACGGCGAGCGCGAGTGTTGCCCTGTTCGGCCTAACCGTGTTCTACAGTGTTGCTATTTTCGGCCTCTACCTGTCTGACACATTCCACTTCGATAGACGACCTGCTGCCCAACCAGCGCCTAATAACTAAACAGAATCTTTTCAAACCTATATGAACGACAGTTTAGAAAAATATCAAACATTTTTATTTAGTTATCAATCAAAATACCATATAAACTACATATTATGTAAAGTTTTTTATATTTTACCGGTATTTGGTCCAAAAATATATTTGTATTGAATTTTTTTATCACCTCTTAACAAATTTCGGGTTGATGAGATGTCAATTTGACAAATTAGTAATTATTATTTCTTAAATTTACACGAATACTACACAATGAATAAAACTACTTTTACAGATTTTATCGTGTTTAATTAACTTTTTTTTAATTGCCGACGTTTCGGGTGCTTGTCCCGATGTCACAGTTAGGGGTTGGGTTGCTATAAAGCACCCGAAACGTCGGAAATTAAAATAGTAAATTAAACGCGATAAAATCCGTAAAAAAATAGTTTTATTCAAATTAGTAATTGACTCATTTGAATTGAAACTTTAATTTCGATTGAATCGAAACTAGAATGGAATAAATCAAAATATTTATTTGCTAAAAAATATGGTACGGCTTGTCATAGGTAAGTAAGTATTTGTTGTATATTTTTCTATTTTCTGCAACAAAGTGGTTAACAAATATTTCTATAAATAATAGCGTAACCTGAGAAATAAATATTTTATTTTTAATGTATTAGTAAATATTATTTTGTTATCTTTCAATTTTATAACCTTAAGCATAGTGATCTAATGTTGAAGTGTTTATTTATAGATCATTAGAATGTATTAATTTGTGTCCAAATAAAAATTATAATATTCTGTAGAGTGACATTGGTAGCATAAATAACATAATATCGAGCATCTTAAACTTTTCATTTAATGATAACACTAGTCTTGCTTGTAATGTTAATCACTGTTAAATGCAACTAAATGTATGTAGTCTTTCTGATTTTAACAATATAAATTTAAGAATTTCGTTTTGGTATTGGTGGAGTTTGATAATTTATTAATTTAAACTTAATAAATATGGTGTACGTTACTTATCAACATCATCGTTATCATTAAAGCACTTCACGAGTCCACTGTTGAACATAGGCCTCCCCCAAGGAATGCCACAAAGCACGGTTCTGAGCCACCTGCATCCATCGACTTCCTGCATGTCTTACCAGGTCGTCACTCCATCTAGCCCCACACTAGACCACCGTACACTTCGTCCACCGGTACGTGGCCCCCACTCGAGAACCTTTTTCCCCATCGGTTGTCGGTTCTTCGAGCTATATGGCCGGCCATATGATAATAATGATAAATTAAAATTTATTTAAGAGTCGAAAAAATCCATTAATCCAGTTCGCGTGACTGATAAATAATCGTTTACCCCTTGTCTTTATTATTTTGTGGAATGTTTAGTATATTGCTGATGGATCATCGATCTTACTTTCACATTTGAGGCTAGTGCTCGTCTGGATGTTTTACCGGAATATACCGGAAACCACTAAATATTCAGGAAAATTCACGTAAAGGGCAACAAATGTAGGGCAAGAAATATTATGACGTTTCACATTTTTCTAAACTTAATAACTTTGTACAAGCGTACTCACACGATTTCAAACAATATTTTATGTAAAGCCAGAGAATTACGAAGTTATTTATATTTCATTAAGACGTGCATTATTCTTAATCGTTAAAATTAAATTTGAGGTTTTCAAACGAAGCAAAAGGCACTTTGTTGCATTTATACAGTATTAAAATAAAATTAAAAAGTAATGAAAATGCGTGTTACTTTAATTTATTTGGTTTGCTTTCACTTTGAATACAAATGTAATTAATAATTTTCTAGAATGTCGTTCACATGGCACTCACAATTGAACTGTTTATATAGCATACTTTAGGTCATTTCCTAAATTGAAGAATGTGATAGAGTTGAAAGAGATAACTATGGTAGCCATTCTTAATCAACTGAGAGGTTTATTATCCTCATTATTTTAATATCTTTCTTAACATGACACCAACGATAATTTCGTACGGTAAGCGATAAAAATAAAATGTAATTAAATTGATTTATTCCAGAATGATATAACGTTTACAAATATACTATCTACTGCTACCTACTACTACCTAAATGGACGGCGGGTCTAGAACAAAAGTCAGGAAAAATGTGTCCCGAGTCAACTTATATAAGCGCAGATACATCTATAGAAATATGAAAAAACTATAATATCCTGCATTAGGATAACCATATTGTCATTAGAAAACTGCTCAATTTTACTTGCGACAATTTATCAGCCTATTAACTTCGACTAGAAGGCGCGCACTATTTTCACCTTATGCAACTTCTAGCGAAATTTATAGGTATGGTTATTTGGTTTACAATTAATATGAATTTAAATGAAATATTATGTATCTAAGCAAAATATAACTTTTAAATTATTAAATATTAATAGTCCTTACCGAAAAAATATATAAATAGAAATAGTTTTTGCTTGTTTTCACAACAAAGTACGACATTTTGGACTTGTATTATGTCTGTTGACAAAACGAAGACTGGCGCGCGAATGGAACTCTTTTTTCATTTTGGAACTTTTTTGGCTCTGACACTAGCGCCGACCCGAGGTCCATTTAGTAGTAGGTCAATGTCGTATCTACTTTTTAGGATATATGTACAAATATAGTTATTTTATTACTTTTCCAACCATAGTATCCGGAGTCTGGGGTAACTTTGTAACGGGCAACAAAAATACCTATAATTCTATATAAAATTATCAGCTATGAAGCAACCGCTTTTTCACTAGCTAAAATATTAATATAGTAAATGTGGAAAAAAATGTCAGTTGTTTTGTAAGTCAATAATTTGTTTATAGTAGGTTAGCCCTTGGAAAGTAACTTTAAATTAAACAACACGGACTAAAAATTCCTTGTCAACACACTTTGAATTTCATGTTGAACTATAAAATTAGTCGCATAGTATAATTCTTTTTAATTGTATTAGCTTCGCGTGTATTTACTTATCTATGTAACGAAATTTTTTAATGCAATTTTCACCAACTTGGAGACGGCCAATTGACTTGAAAATTTGCAATAATTTTATCCTGATCAGTATCACCAGTATAATTCTCTCTAAAACCATCACAGCTCATGATCAAAACATGTTTTTTTTCTTAAGTTTTCTTAATTTTTAATATTATTATTTACAGTGCGTTATTTGCGTTTAAAATTAAATTAGTAATTTTGAATTTATTTCTGATTTTATGTAAAAAAAAAAAGCGCACGTGTACACAAAGTAAAACGGCAGTTACAAAGTAGGCCCCACCTTACGGTACTTTGTTCTTCATTACAGATTCTTGTTTTTAAAAGGTATAATTTGTGGTTTTAGTCAGTTAATAGTTGAGTATTTATTAAAAATTCTAAATAAGTGATTGGATGCCAATAGTTGTTGGTAACAATTGTACATATTATAAATAAAATTTATATTGCGTATGACACTAGGATTATTTTATTTTAGTGAAACGTGGTCATGTTTAAATGTAAAGACAAATGAATAACCATAATTTAAGATAATTATGTAATTCAATAGCTTGCACAAAATCTTATTATTTTAAACTAAGCATTCATTTTTAGAGCACCGTCCAGAAGTATGTATTATTGGTAATTTCTGCATTGGTATAGTTTTTATTGCAACGTGATTGTAAATAGACGAAAAGCGCTTTTTGTGTATGTAACACAAAAGAGATTGGTGATTAGTGTCTCAATTTTTAGATTCGATTTGAACAACATTCATAAAATATTAGTAGCAATATATAAATTTTGCGGTTATATTGTTTATATTGTAATTTTTACGCCGATAAACATTTATTGTTAATTAATTTTAAGATACTAAAATTACAAATAAAATATTAACTCGATGTTTTGCTATTTTATTTTACCTCGATAAATTTAAGGGATTTCTAGAGAAGGTAAAATTTTAGACGACAATAGGTATGCTATTCCAATAAAAAAGTATCAGCAGCTTTTGTCTTTTTTTTACGTTAATGCAGAACAAGTAAGGTGATAAGTATTAAGACTGCACCGAATGAAATAGCCTGGTGTATAATCTACGTCGTGCGTACATAGGTACGATCTCTACTTTATCCCTTAATGTATCCAACTAAGGCGACTGACATGAGCATTTGCTCGATATGAATATTCACATCGATAATTTTGTGAACAAATGCTGATGACATTCGCGACGATTATGTGCTTCACTGTACTCCAGCAGTTGTAGTCAAAATGGCGGACGTAAAGGTAGTGTGTGCTGCGTTCCTTTTAATCCGTTATTGCTACTTAAAGAAGAAGAAAAGAAAGCGTCTTTGGAGAACAAATTTGTTCAAAATGAGAAATTAAGCTGGCGGATCTAACAAAAATTGTTTCCTGACTCCACTGCATTTTACCAATCGCAAAAAACCACGACACAAACAGAACATTGCAGACTAGTAAATATTTATCTGCAGAACCAACTAGTGCGCTCTCAGCGGTATAAATTTGATCAAGATCTGACTAGTAGTTTCGGAATTATCCTTAATAATGCGTATTCGTATTGAAGTGGGTTGTACAAAATTTTTAATTTCATTAGTTGTCTCTCTTCCTCTCTTTTTAAAAAACGTTACCTCCACACTAGGATTTTATTCTATATCGCAGGGACAATTTACATACATAGAACAGGCCCAGAACAATTATTTGTAGGCCATACAAATACTTGTTCCGTCCGGGATTCGAACCCGTGGCCCTTAGCGCTGCAACTCATTACTAAGCCACTGCGCCACGGAGCCGTTACTTGTCTGTTTCACATTTTTTCCTATTTACTATTGGGATAATTTTTTTCATTTCATTAACCAGTTTTTGCACCACACAGAACGACCTTTCCTTTTTGTTTTCTAAATTGCAAGCAATAAGCCTAGGATGGGTAACGCATCGTCGTCCGTCACTAGGGACGCCATGGTTTCAACTGATGCGGCATCATGCAATCTTGACGGCGAAATTGAACGTTAGTGGTCTATATGGATGCACTGCAA